AAAAATAAATATTTCAAATCAAAAAAATTACAGCGTGTTTGGGACATAAATAGGTAAGTTTTCACCAAATTTCGTGAAAAAAAAATTTGTTTGTAAAAGATAAAAATAAAAAACCAAAAACTTGGTTATTTGAATTTTTCACATAAATTTTGAGGTTATGTGAAAAAAGTGTAAATACAAAAGTTGTAGATCTTTTTATTACCTACAACATTGTCAATTAACTTTTTTTCCAGAAGACCTGTAGTTTTTCTGGAAATCAAGGGAAACCGTTTTTTACCCTTAAAAACTTACCCCCTATCCCTTCCCGACCTCAGATCGCCCGTAAATTATTTTCCTTTCATTTCTGTTATATTCTCTTTCTTTTCCAATGGGTTTCATCCTACTACAATTTTTTTTGGTTTCAAAAATTATCGACCCTGGTCTAATGTATTAGTCACTCTTTATAATTTCGGCCGCCGAGTATAGTCTATTTGTATCATCATCGAAAACACTTGATTTAACTCACTACTTAATCACAGGTTGAACGTCGAATAGTGTTTTTTCAGTTCTCTTTTTACATAAACTTTAAAAAGGTTTCAACTGTAATGTTTAGAAATATCCACTAGCACAGAAATTATTAAAATTATTAATAATTGAAATAACTAACATTGACTTAGACGACCGAAATCAAATTGTAATACCTATGACGTAATTCCACCTCAGAAATGCTATAATGCCATTGAACACCTCAAAGTGAAAGTTTGCAGGCAACCCACTTCTTTTAGCGATCTTGTACCTGTACAATTATAAGCCCAGTTTCATTCCTAAACCTAACCCATCTTATATAAGGATGTAAGTCAGAGGCAAACTCGCACTTCATAGTAAGGTTAGCACCCTCCGACACGGTAGTGTTCTCCAGTTTAGTTATTAACACTGGTTTGCCCAGAAATCTCTCTATAAAAGGAACATAACAACACACGCAACGACAAAAATTTGTTTCTTTATCGAAATCATTTTGCCTGAGTAACCCAATAATACTTACTGAAAACGTCCACAGTAAATGTGAAATTAATGCAACCGACAACATTACATACAAGGCAGGTATAGTTCCCTGAATCTTCTACTCGTGAGTCATTAAAGGTTAAGATCCAATCATTGATTTTTATGTCTCCCATTTCTCTTTTGGGCGGCGATTGGTTGTCTTTATACCACACAACGTTTGGTTGGGGGAAACCTCGTGCTCTACAAGTTAACTTAAGCCTATTTCCCGAAGGCGTCAATTTCGATTGGTACATTTTCCTTGGAAAATATGGCGATTCAAATACTGTTACATTGTACCTTTTCAGGGGGGACTCATTTACGAAACAGGCATAAATACCATTGTGTTCAGGTTTTACCGAGGTAAGTTCGAATACATTTGAGTCAACCTGGAACATAAAACTGATATTGGGGAACTAAACGCATCCAAAACAGAAAGATATCCAATATTTGTTTGTTAATCATAGGCTGGTTCAACTAGCCCATGAGTTTTTCCTTAAAATGATATATGAATTGGAAAAAACATACAACGCAACATTTGAAAAATATAGGCTTACGATTTCCTTAAGTAATTTTCCTTCCGGATTGTTGGCTACACTCATCAACCTCCACTGTATTTTGTTACCAATTTTAGTACGGCACTGCAGTGTTACAGTTGCATTTCTAGCAGCTGTTATATTTTCCAAATTTTTCGTGATATAGTCTCCATTAGAATCTAAAGTACCTGCAAAAGCAAATAAATACCGTGTTAAAAATTGGCTGCGACAACATTGCTATCTCCGAAACAATCAGAGACAGAAGGAATGATTCGTTGTTAGTTGGAAGATTTCGTCGTTTTCCAGGTTTATTTAAAGAATTACAAGAAAATATACAACACGTTCATATGACCATTTCCGTTCCTCTGATTGAAAATGGATTGGTATTTCAAAATACAGGCTGTTACAAATTCGCTTCTCACTACAGGGATCTCGGAAACGGTAAGAGGTACGAAGTAGCTTAAATGGGGGCAAAGTTGCGTAATCAGGGGACCAACATCATCCCTCTAAAAAAATTAAGGCTAACATGATTAGTTTTCGAAATACTTGAAAAAAACCGAAAATTTNGGTTGGGGGAAACCTCGTGCTCTACAAGTTAACTTAAGCCTATTTCCCGAAGGCGTCAATTTCGATTGGTACATTTTCCTTGGAAAATATGGCGATTCAAATACTGTTACATTGTACCTTTTCAGGGGGGACTCATTTACGAAACAGGCATAAATACCATTGTGTTCAGGTTTTACCGAGGTAAGTTCGAATACATTTGAGTCAACCTGGAACATAAAACTGATATTGGGGAACTAAACGCATCCAAAACAGAAAGATATCCAATATTTGTTTGTTAATCATAGGCTGGTTCAACTAGCCCATGAGTTTTTCCTTAAAATGATATATGAATTGGAAAAAACATACAACGCAACATTTGAAAAATATAGGCTTACGATTTCCTTAAGTAATTTTCCTTCCGGATTGTTGGCTACACTCATCAACCTCCACTGTATTTTGTTACCAATTTTAGTACGGCACTGCAGTGTTACAGTTGCATTTCTAGCAGCTGTTATATTTTCCAAATTTTTCGTGATATAGTCTCCATTAGAATCTAAAGTACCTGCAAAAGCAAATAAATACCGTGTTAAAAATTGGCTGCGACAACATTGCTATCTCCGAAACAATCAGAGACAGAAGGAATGATTCGTTGTTAGTTGGAAGATTTCGTCGTTTTCCAGGTTTATTTAAAGAATTACAAGAAAATATACAACACGTTCATATGACCATTTCCGTTCCTCTGATTGAAAATGGATTGGTATTTCAAAATACAGGCTGTTACAAATTCGCTTCTCACTACAGGGATCTCGGAAACGGTAAGAGGTACGAAGTAGCTTAAATGGGGGCAAAGTTGCGTAATCAGGGGACCAACATCATCCCTCTAAAAAAATTAAGGCTAACATGATTAGTTTTCGAAATACTTGAAAAAAACCGAAAATTTGGAAATCCGTTTTTGTTTCATTTCAACCTTGTTTGAGGTAATATCAAAGACCTCAGAATGACTAGACAAGTAATGCATTGCAAAGGAATTGTTTTGATTTTGCACAACTTGAGACATCCTGCTATTAAACAAGGATGAAGATAGTTCTTTGTTTACTAGGGAACTCTTAACCAGTAGCGTGTGTGTTAAAAAGGGTGATACATTTTAATATTTGTCTAATTTATATATCCTTACCGATTTCACACCTAATTTGGTTTTAAAATAATGTTAATGACTTCTTTTTTAAATAAATAGAACCATGTTCGTTTTACTCCATAACGGCACTTACTGCCGAAAAAAAGTAATACTAGTTACAACAATCTTTACTTTCTCAGTAACAATATACATCAATATGTTAAATAATACTAATTAATAAAAGTTTTTAGCAGCTCAAATAGGAATCACAAAGTTACAGTTACAGTTGCATATAGTATGGTAGCTATACTATACTTGTATACAATAATATGCACATCAAGTAGAACAATTAGTGATAAATGAAAGATAAATAGTAAATGGGGTTATTACACATATAAACAGATTTATTGGATCTAATTTGTTATGACTAAACGAACTTGGGAACTCAGGAACTGCTGTGTCCTTAAGATAAACTCGGCCACCAGGTCTTATTAAGAAATCACTTGATGTGAAGTGATCTGAACATACAACACTTCTTTAGGACTATTTTCCTTTCCTATACAGCTCAAAATGCGAGAGAGCCAAACGTCTCGGCGTTCAACTTTCGAAGGAATCCTAAAATCAAATTGCCTAGGTTACCTTTTAAATAATGTTGCCTTTGCAATTCATGTTACTTTTTATTTAACCGTAACACACAATTCACGTTTTAAAAAAATATTTTATATTTTCAATATTATTGCACTGAAAATTTTCTATTTCAAATTTTGTTTTAAACTACCGTCTGTTTTTCTGTTACGCCCATGGTAAATCTACCTACCTCTGAAAAGAGCGATTGCCTCCACTTTTAAAGCGAAATCTACATATAACACAATATTTTCCCATTGTCTATTCACAAAAACAATAAATTCTGCCAAAGAAACTAATAATCCACGGTAAACACAACGTTAAACTCAATAAGCAGGCAAAGAATTAATGGCGGCCGACAATCGTAAACAATAATAAACATCTAGCATAGAGCAGGTACTGCGCGCGCACCTTACCACATGTCTTTAGCCAATAGGAGGCTGAGTTCTCAAAATATTTACAGTAGAACAAAACAAACCAAGACAATGCACTGTCTATCCTTTCTGAGGTCGTTGGGTAATATAGAAAAAAAAGAACACTTTCTCATGGCCACTTTTTGCCCTTTATCGAATGGCATAATCAATTTTTATATGTAGCGTTTCGTCTCTCCAGGACCATCATCAACTTATTTTATTACATATTTTGCAAACCTTCATGACCCCCAATACCGTACTGCCTCTGCCCGAACCAGATTCAGACGTTTTGTCTCGAAATATTCATCTTCAATGTTATTCGTTCCAAATTTATCTAAATTTTTTTATTTAGACTTCTTTGTTTATTGAATTATCGTACACTGTAAGTGTCGTTAGACCCTGTGAAATCGATTTAGTTATTTAAACTATTACCACCACGCGTTAAATATCTACTCAAAATTCGTCGTCTAAAAAGTTTATTCATTTTTCAAATTTCTAATAACTGGGATATTTTAACACTAATCTATCTGTATTAACTCCACGGAATGATTAAATTTTGATTGTTTCGTTGAGTGTTTATTTTTCGTTATATTTGGAAGTTTTAAGTTAAAATAATCACCCAGTATATGATAATAATTATGTTTTGGTTTTAGAGATACTATGTACTTTATTATATTTTTACGTATACGTTTTTAAAAATTCAGACAGAAATAATTCCATTTTTATTTAATTTGTACTAAATAAAAAAAAAATAAAATTCTTATGTATAATTATAAAAAACGAGGAACAAGATGACAAATTTTAAAACGAAATTATTTGTTAAGTAAATAAAAATTCACAAGTTATAGTCCGTACGATATTTGTTGAAATACAGTCCCAAAATAAGAATGAGCCAATAAAGTTATGTTATCGGAACTACTGTAACAATTTACGGCGGCGGGGGCGTGTCTTGAAATTTTCCGCCAATGTCCTTCTACCTCAGGTGTCGAATGCGGTTAATTTCAAGAAAGTGACGCAGGGGTCTTCTTGCAATTCTAGCTCAACAAATCGCATACGGACGGTAGCTAACTTTATTTTTATGTGTACTTTTACATACCTGTCGGTGTAGCTGTATAGAGCTCAAAAGTTATAAAACAAAACAAATATAACATGAACAACCCCATGTTGTTATAGTGCGGTAAATAGATTCTGAAAAAAATATATAACAATTTGCAATGTATACAGAGTGTCCTACCAGGAATCGCCACTATCGATATCTCGGATAAATTTGAAAGTTTGACAACCTAGCAAAGGCAATAAGGAGAACATAGTTAAAATTTTCAGAACTTTATCGCACTTCCGGTTACACCGGAAGTCGACATTAACTTTCTTATTGCATTTTCGGATTCTACGTGAAATTTGAGGATCACTGTATTAAATATTTCATATAGCTCGGGGTTATAGATTTAGAGATATTAATTTTTAAAGAAAAAAATTGACAGATGCAAAAGTCCGCTAGTAACTCTTTTCAGGTGTGTGATATCAGGTGGATTTTTGGTACTTGTAAAGGGCATAGGTAACACTAAATTATGACATGCCAACAAATTCAAATATTTAATACTAGGTGTTTCATTTTTGCTGTTACATTTTAATAATTTCAAACAGTTATAACTTTGTTAAATGGAAAACTTCCTTTCAAACTATATAAGCTTTGTTTGAGTTGCCGCTACTATTTTTAGAGATATTTGCAGTTTTCTATTTTTTTGGACAGTTTTTCTCGTATCAGACCCGTTGTCAAATTGGCCATGGCCAGAAACACTCCAAAATAACACAGCCACACAAAAAAAGAAAAATTGTCTGAACTTTTCATGCGACATATGTTATCTGTAGTATTTTTGCTTCTTGATCACGAATCCGATGTCAGAATTGAGCTATCACATCACAGGAATTTCCTAACCTCAAAAAACAGGTAAAAAATAGAAAAATTCATGAAAAAGTGCTGGGAAAAATACAAATATTTCTTTTTTCTATACTCAAATGTTCATTTATATAGTTAAGACCCCGCCCAACGTGAATCCGCTGTCAGAATTAATGGATTTTTTCTAACCTCAAAAAAAAACGGGTCAATTAAGGTCAGATATCACGAATTTTCAAACAATAACAGATTCGCGTAAAATTTGGTATACGGGGGTTTTCTGGGTCGCTGATCACGGATCCGATTTTGCAAAATTCAAGATGGCGGATCCAAGATGGTCGACCAAATTTTCAAAAAACAATAGAATCGCTGCAAATTTGGTAAACGGGGGTTTTCGGGGTCGCTAACTACGAATCTGAGGTCAATTTTGCAAAATTCAAGATGGTGGATCCAAAAACCAAATTTTCAAATAATAACAGATTAGCAGCAAATTAGATATACGGGGGTTTTCGAGGTCGCGGATTACGTATTGGAGGTTAGAATTGCGAAATTCATTTTGTAATATTTTACTTTATAACCTAAGTACCCAATCATGTGTTAACCTACTTTCTTTCGGTTATATCTTGTTTTTTTTTATGTAAAAGATCTATTCACAGGTTGAATTTTGTAAATCTGATCTCGAATTCGTGATCAGTGACTTCGAAAACCCCCGTATACCAAATTTGGCGCGAATGTGTTATTTTTTGAAAATGTGGTCGGCCGCCATTTTGAATTTTGCAAAATTGACCTCGAATTCGTGATCAACGACCCGGAAAACCCCCTTATACCAAATTTGATGCGAATCTGTTATTTTTTGAAAATTTGGTCGGCCATCTTGGATCCGCCATCTTGAATTTTGCAAAATTGACCTTGGATCCGTGATCAGCGATCCCGAAAATCTCCGTATACCAAATTTGGCGCAAATTTGTTATTTTTTGAAAATTCGTGATATCTGACCTTAATTGACCCGTTTTTTTGAGGTTATAAAAAGAACCATCAATTCTGACCGATAATTCACGTTCGTTGGGGTCTTAACTATATAAATGAACATTTGAATATAGAAAAAAAAATTTTGTATTTTTCCTAGCACTTTTTCATGAATTTTTGCTATTTTTTACCTGTTTTTTGAGGTTAGGAAATTCCTGTGATGTGATAGCTTAATTCTGACACCGGATTCGTGAATAGGAGGCAAAAATACTATAGATAACATATGTCGCATGAAAAGTACAGACAACTTTTCTTTTTTGTGTGGCTGCGATAATTGAAGTAACTAGACATTTGTCAAGTTAGATGTAAAAATTGTTGTTGTCTCTAATTGTTTTTGCCGAAAATTTAAATACAAATGTCTAGGGATCGTTTAAATTATACTGATGAGGATTATTTTCATTTGTATGTTATTTATGGACAAATATGAAGTTATTTTAATTGTTTCTGGAGTGTTTCTTGTCATGGCCAATTAGATAACAGGCCTGATACGAGAAAAACTGTCCAAAAAAATAGAAAATTGCAAATATCTGAAAAAACAGTAACGACAGCCCTAATAATGCTTATAGGGCTTGAAAGGAAATTTCAATCTGCATACAACAGAGTAAAAATACAGGGTGTTTCATTTAAGTTAACAAAGTTATAGCTGTTTGAAGTTATCAAAATGTAACAGCAAAAATTAAACACCTAGTATTAAATGTTTTAATTAGTTGGTATACCATAATTCAGTGTTACCTATGCCCTTTACAGATACCAAAAATCCACTTGACGTCACGCTCCCGAAAAAAGTTACTAGCATCTCCGCGAACTCTTGCATTTGTCAAATTTTTTCTTTAAAAATGAATATCTCAAATAACTCCTAGATATAGGGAATAGTTAATAAAGTGACTCTCAAATTTCACGTAGAATCCGAGAAATTAAAAACCTAGACTCTTGACAATAAATGAAGTAAAATAATATATGTTACAATAAGGCGATTATGAGATTTGAGTATCAAAAATATTTTCCAAAAAATTGACAAAAGTGACAAAACGTTAATGCGGTCCTGTTTAACATAGCGGAAAAAACATTGACCTAGTCCGCAGTCCGTACGGCACCTGTGGAGTGTCACTACGCTTTTGACTTGCGGGTGAATTGCTGCTAAGTTGTGTCAAAAAGATCGCGCCGCTTCTACTATTTAGACGTTAAGTGTTTATTAAAGACGTTTCTTACTTTTTATTTTTTAAGTTATTGTTTTAACTAAATCGGCAATGGATAACGAGGACAACAATAATAAGTTTACTACTATCGAACGATAGCGGTAAGTTTGCATCTTTTTTGTTTGTCGTGATCCAACCTAGCACTTGCTAAAATAATAGTAGTCTTTTCTGTAACACCATGTACTTTGTTTCTATAAACCTCTTGTCTGGGATTGCACATTATCATTTACAGTGAAATAACTAATTGAATTTTATGTTTATTTTTCCTTTTAATTATAACGAGGATTGTATTAAACTGGCCAAAATTATTTATTATTGCATTAAAACATTTTATCTCCTTTGTGTGTATTTCATACATTTTAATTTGGCAACACCGATTTGCGCAAAGGCTTGACTCTGTTAAGTTCGGTTCGGCAAGCGTGCGCTGATGTTAATCGAATGGCATGACATTTTTTGACCAGGACCGTACTAAAATTTATTTCTTCGCTGCAAAATTGAAGTTCAATTTTCTTGACAAAACGTGGAATATGAATTTCTTATATAAGGCTTTTTTATTGCATATATTTCTAGGAATCTGCATTTTATTTTTTCTGCACTAAAGACGCCACACCCTGTATATTTAGGGTGTTCCACTTAAAATAAGAAAGTTAATGTCGACTTCCGATATAACCGGATGTGCCATAAAGGTCTAAATATTTTAGCTGTGTTGACCCTATTGCCTTTGCTAAGTTGCTAAATTTTCAGATTTATCAGATCAGTACTTTCCGAAATATCGATAGTGATAACTGGCGATTCCTGCTGGGGCACCCTATAGAAAGGGAGACAGTTTTACTGGTCGATAGATAATTTTTACGATATCTCCGAGAAATTATACATTTTTTACATGTCATATTATGTTTATATTAAATTAGTACGTTAATTTAAGTAAAAACTGTAGAACTTCTTTTGATTTTTAAGCATTCAAATTATCGTATACTTTAATAAAGGAACGAAAATTCTAGAAAGGAAATTTCCTTTCAATTTTAGTTGTGTTAACATCGCAGTGATTAAAATTAACATTAAATGAAACTTAATCGATCCTCACCTCCCTGCTGTTGACACACCACAGCACAGTTCTGTGACCCTTTCGGTAAAACTGTTAACAATTAATGACCTCTTTAAACTATTAAAACTAAAATTCTGTGTTTGTTTAGGTACGTCACATAACAGTGTATCGATTTACGAGATGAATATTATCACTTAGTACAGGGTGATTCAAATTGTATACGATAAAATTGCTATTTGAGACACTGCGGCGTCAGAGATATGCAGAAATATTTAGTTGAGGTAAACTTGAGAATAAATGAATAGATACGAGGCCTGTTCAAAAAATAACGAATTTTTTTAACCTTTATTATTAATTTTATACAAAAATCTGATTTTTGGCACAAAACTCACGAACTGACAAAGCTGAATGTTCGTGCGCATTGTCATGGTGCAAGAACCATAACAATGAGTTGTCTCTTTACGGATTTTTTCACGTAACCGTTGTAAAATGCCTTAGTACACTGTAAAAAATCGTTGTGAGTGAAATCAATAAGGTTCGGAGTGAATCCCATAGAGTGAAATTATTAAGTACATTTTAACTCAATATTGGGCATTTTGATCATTTTACTCATTTGTGATTATATTTAAAATATAACTGAGTACTTTCACTCAAATATAGGTACTCCTTAAATAAATTCTTCACGTAAACTCGTATTTGATGCACTTGTACCTAAATAAGAGTAAATGTCCTCATTTTAAATGTATATTAATTTCGAGTAATTTGAATGGCACCACTTACATATTGCTTCTGTAATCTCGACCACAGATGATAGGGGCCCGTTAGATGCTCCAGACAAGCGTGATCGCCAGGAGAACAGGTCTCCCGTCCTGGCTGAGACCCATCAGCTGAGACCCGCCGCAGCCCCGCGAAATGAATTAATTTCAGCACTGTACATCCTAATTAATTATTTATGAGTGATTTAATTTTGCCATCAATATTTAGTTAATTCAAAACAAAGTCTGAGTAATGACTCAATAATTGTTAAATTTAAATCATATTAGAGAAAAAGTCAACTCTAAATTGGTTTTATATACTCAGAATAGAGTCAAAAGTCGCTCAATTGATAGTTAGCAGTTACTCGAATTTGAGTAAAACTCATTAATTTCTGATGCAATAGTTTCACTCAGTTGTACTCATACTAATAAATTGAAAATTTTACTCACAAAGAAATTAACAAATGCCTGGAGCAACAAATTCACGGTCAATCGAATAGGGCTTTGGCACACATATTGGTCATTAGATTGATCGTCTTTTCCATAAATTTCAACATCCATTGCATTTTGCAATAATAATGCGCAATTTTCGGAAACTGGTATTTCCGCGTTCAACCTTTGTTTTACAATTAACAAATTGGTGAAATATGCCTTTAGATACCTTAAATTATAGGTAATTTAATTGCCTACAACATAAAATTACAAATTTTTCGACAGCTCAGTAAAAAAAGTGAAAAAACACCTAAATTTGCCCGTTATTTGCAATTTGCCAACACTTTTTTCGAGTTACTTTTTTGATATTATCATTCTGCATACCCTTCCCCGTCGGAAAGTGCAATAAAATGTCTACTAATATTTTTTTCACGCTCAAACTGTGATTCGACTGGAGTAAACTTCTTCTGTAATTTCTCTCGGCGATTTGCACGCACCAGATCTTTGACTTTTTGAACGTGAGCAACATCAGTTGAAGTCAAAGGCCCTGCTGATCGAGGATCATCTTCAACTGACGAACACTTCTAAATCTAAAAAATCGTTCGTCTCTAACACGTTGCACTCAAATAACAATATCACGAAAACGAAATGAGACATCAACAATCCAAGACCATGTGGTTATGCACAACGCGCAACTCTACCAACCGCGTATCACTAAATACCTCCATTATCGCATAATTCAAGAAGGTCTGTTATGTTTTGAACAAACCTCTTGCAGCTCCTATCCTAGTGCAAGTTCAACATGTTGAGGTCTTGTTAAATCTCTTATCAATTTAAGAAAATTTCTGGAAATAGTATAAAGACATAAATTCGAAAAATAGACATTTATACCGCTTAATTACAGTCACCTTGTATGTTCACTAAAATTGAAAGAATGCTTTACATAAAAACATTTTAATCAAAATACTTCTACAGCTGTTTTAAATATCATATATCTTCACATCTGGCAAATGATATTCGTTCTTTGTTTATTAAAAGACATATATTTTATTTAATATGTAAAAATATAAAAGGTGGGTATATATACTGTATATACAATGTGTCCCAAAATGATTTTTTCCAATTGAAATTTAAAAAACTCGAACAGGTCAATTAGTAAATAGAAATTGCAATATTTTCTATTTTTTTGAGCCAAGTTTGACAGACCTATAACATTACCGATATTTTTTGTTAATAGGACGCTCTATATTTTACAGTATAAATAGATAGCCCTTCTAAAGGTTATACCTACTTTTTTGTCATACTTGTCAAACAATGGAGGAATTAAATGAAAACAATAATTTAGTAGGTACTACTTTTTATTTTATTACAGCAAATGTTCAAAATAGCCCCTATTAATCATTGCACAACGCCCAATTCGGTGTTCAAAGTTATCAAATACATTCTGAATAACATTTGGTGTTATGTTCCGAACTTCTTCTCTGATACGATTTTTCAAACCTTCGATAGTGTCTGGTCTGTTCACGTACACTTTGCTTTTTAGATAACCCCACAAAAAATGTAGTGGGGTTAAGTCAGGGGAGCGTGGTGGCCATTGAAGCGGCCCTCTTCTGCCTATCCATCGATTTGGGAAAAGGCCTTTTCTTACAATTTAAATACTCCAATGGCGCAGATACAGGGTACCTGTGGCATATTTTTCTAAATAAAATAGTACGCCACCTTGGGACCCAGCTTGAAAGCTAATATTCACTCTAAAACCCTACTGATTGGTTGTCAATGAGTGCACCTCTCGTTAGATATTCTGCAAGTTGTTATTACGTTGTGACACTCTCCATGAATAAATAATAAATTTAGAATATCAGCATTTGAATAAATATTTACTTTTCCATCCTTTAACAATAAATAATACTCAAACATTAACTGGATGTGTTAAATTGACAACAATAAACTGGTGACAGATTAGGTGCTTGTTTTGAAGTTCCACTAAAAATTTCACAGCCATCCTCGCAAGAAATTATGCAATACCCGTAGACTGCACGAAAAACAGTAAATACCTTAAATCCAGAAGAGATGGGTATAGGGAACCATTATACCATTCGAAAGAGAACAAAATTGTTAATCAGATTGCACGAAAATATACAGGATGTTCCATATAAAAAAATAAGTTAAGATGGTTTAAAATTGACTAAATTCGGCATTAAATTTGTATCACCCTGTATGAAATTAAGTCAGTTTGAAATTATGGCAGGGAAGCTTATAGTTTTAGGTATGTGCCTTATAAATTTTATCGCTCTAACTTTATTACTGTAAAATACACGTCTTTTTGAATCAGGCAGTGCATTCTTCATTAAAAAAAAATAAATATATTAAAAACGGTTAACTTTGAGAATAAGAAACCTTTATGAAAGTTCACCTAAAAATTAACGTATAATCCAAAATTGCAATAATATACAGCGTGTTACATTTAAAAGAACGAAGATAACGTCAACTTCCGCTATAACCGGAAGCGTTAGGTGAACGTCATTATTTTAGTTGAGAAGCGCATGCCCAAATTTTCAAAATTAAAATCGAAGTAATCGGAAATATGTGTAATGAGGGACACCCTGTATATGCAGTAGAAAAGCTTTACTATACATTAACAGTGTATAGGGTGTCCCGCATAAGGACCGACACAGGGCAGGTGCAGGTGTCCAAAATATTGTAATTTAACCAAACTGACCTATATACAAAGTTGCCCCCTGAGGAGTTATTAGCCCCCAAAGTGGGGCCCATAATTTCGAAAAAATTAATATCTCTGCAACACTTTACCGTAGAAGAACCAAATTTGGTACATGATTTAGGTTTATTACTGGTCTTCTTTGACTATGATTCAAAGTTAATTGAAGCACTACAAGGTGTTGGGGATGACTCACCCCTAAAATTGTACCGTACTTTTTTTTCATTGACCGAATTGAAAAATAGTAATAGTAATTCACAGCAGAATTTAATTTAAAAAAATTTTTTACGCTTGTTAAATATTAAAAGACTATGGTTTTCAAGAAAACCCGTATTAACTGAAACAAGATTTTAAGTGTTTATTAGAAAATAATCGAAAAATCAGTAGTATAGCAATGAATTTATCTTTCAAACTTGTCAGTTAGTAATAAAATTATTTTATTTGAACGATTGCCTCTGACTTTTGTTGAAAAAATATAAATTATTATTTTTATTATTTATTTGTGTTTTTTACTTAATACAATATTCGCTTATTTAAAATCTACCTAGGTACTTGTTTTCTTTTTGTAGAATTAGGAGAGAAGTGAAGTAAAATTTATTAGGCAAATTGTTAAATTTGAAAGATAAAGTGATTTTTTTATTATTTTCTAACGAGCACTGTTAAATTCTTGTTTCAGTTAATAAATACGGTTTTTATTGAAAACCATAGTTTTTTAAAATTTAACAATCGCAAAAAAATTTTTAAACTTAAATTCTGCTGTGAATTACTATTATTATTTTTCAATTCGGTCAATGAAAAAAAAATTCGGTACAATTTTAGGGGTGAGTCATCCCCAATGAACACCTTGTAGTGCTTCAATTAACTTTAAATCATAACCAAAGAAGACCAGTAATAAACCTAAATCATGTACCAAATTTGGTTCTTCTACGGTAAAGTGTTGCAGAGATATCAATTTTTTTCGCAATTTAAGGCACCACTTTGGAGGCTAATAACTCCTCAGGGGTGCAACACTGTATATAAGTAAGTTTGGTTAAATAACAATATTTTGGACACCCCTACATGCACCTGCCATGTGTCGGTTCGTATGCGGAACACCCTGTATAACACAACTTTTCAAAGTAACCACAAGCACACTCGTTAAATAAAATCCGGAAAAGTTTTATTAAAAAACATTTAGTTTCAATTGGACATAAATTAATTGTAAATGTTAAACAACAATTAAATCAATTATGTATACAGGGTGAGTCATTAATAATGGTACACAGCTTAATGGCAGATTATCAACGTCAAAATATAGCGATTGAGCCAAACATGTCTTAATCAATTGTTGCTCATTTTCGTTTTACAGGGTGTTATAGTTGAAAAAATATTTTCCATTTTTATCTATATTTTAAGTATGTATGGACCGATGGTTTTGAAAATTTGTAGTTTTACGTTTTTTGAGGAGGCAAATACGATATAGATAAAAAAGGAAAATATTTTTTCAATTTTAACACCCTGTAGAACGAAAAGGAGCAATAATTGATTAAGGCATATTTGGCTTAATCACTATATTTTGACGTTAACAATATGCCATTAAGCTGTGTACCATTATTAATGACTCACCCTGTATACAAGTATGGTACATGGGATCATTATTATAACGAAAAAACAAATAAGAATTAAACAGGAATGATAACAATTAGGAAAATTAACTTTTTAACAGTGATAGGTGGTTTTTTGGTGTAACAATTTTTAAATCAGCAAAAGCAAGCAAGACAACAAAAAAGGCACTAAAATCTGGATTTTTATATTGTTTTCTAGAAAATGGTGTTCCCTCAATTTTGTAACTCGTAACTGCGTCAGCTTTGTAATGTCTGTAAAAAGCTTTGTTTGGTGGTAAAACATAAATGCTTACGATTTTCACGAGTAGTTCTATTGTACAGCAGGCCAAGAATTTAAATCACAACACAACACATATCTAATTCTATAAAAATCAGACATTTGTTGTGTTCTGATAGTGGTTACTTCATTTTCTAACACTCCGTATTGTCTATAGGTAACTTTATAATAACCGGCATCACTTGTTGGTGAGATAAAACAGTTTGCAGTCTTCACAAGTAGGTTCATTGTACAATAGGTTAAGAATTTAAATCATGCCAAAAATGTCTGAATCTGAGTCAAACTCATTTTGCATCACCAATATTTGCTTTACAAAAGTCGTTGTTGGTTCTGCAGTTTATTGAAAATAGAGGAAATGTAACGTTAAAAACTCCCAGGGGTATATAAAACTAAATGTCCTGAAATACTCAAAACGATGGCAAATGAAACCGTTCTTAAAATGGTGTCAATTTTCTTCAGATGTCACACTCGTTTCGGATTAGTACTGAACGGCATTAAGCTATATAACTATACTCTTCGCTGGAATGAGGAGTTCTTTCTATGTACTCTTCGTCGATCAACGATTCGATACATTTCTTTATTAACTCTACACTCGGCGCGAACGATACCTTCGACTGGGCGTATACCTGCGAACAGAAAAAGGACTCAAATCAGGACATAGGGAAATTTCCTACATTTATTTTATCACACACAAATTTAATGAAAAATAGAATACGAAATTGATAAAGTTCCTTAAACAGTTGTTTTTAGTCCGGGCGAATTAGGTTTTTTTTTTTAAAATCTGGTCTAACTCAAATTTTATGGGCTTAAAATTAAGTAAAAAATACACAAAATAAAAGCCTATTGTGTATTTGTAGTGGTCGAGCGTCATAACAAAAGAAAAAAAAATAATTGCACATTTTTCAGTTTTTCGCTTATACCTCCTAAAATAAGCCTCCAATCGACATGAGCTATACTTATCGATTTTGTTCCTGAGGAAATTTGCTACAAGGATAGGCTTCTGCGAAAGCTAGCAAAATTTTTTTTACGTCGCAAAATTAGCGGTGAAAAAAAAATGTGCTAAATTTTCGGCATTAAATAAAAAGAACGAATTTGGCTGAAATTGGATGAAACTACAGGAAAAGATAACTGTTGGGTGCTCAACAAATACCCGCAATTCGGACCCCCAATTTCAAAATGGCGGCCAACTGCAAAATTATAAAGTCGAAAACGCGAGCGCGTATATCTTCTGCCCAAGTGAAGATATCGAAATTCGGTAAAAAAGGATAGAAAGGTAATTACATTGTCTCGCGTTTGCGTAAATTTCAGATTTTTAAGTTGTAAAATAAAAAAGTTATTAACAAAAAACAAAAAAAAAACTAGGATCCTTATATCGGCGGTTTTTTAATATACAGATTTCAAACCAATTACATCAAATAGTGCTTAAAAAAACATGAATTTAAAAAACAAAACGTCTCGATCCGACCAACAGGAGTCGAGATAATTCTTTTTCTGAAAAACGGTATTCTGGCTGTTCTATTTAATATTTTGTAATAAACTTTGGCTCGTTGTAAAGTAGAAGATTTCCTTTATACGCTGAATTTTTTTTTAATGGATTGGACCAAGAAATGACCAAGTAAACGTACATTAAAGACCTACTGATCACTTCCAAAGAAATAATTGCCTTTTGTTTTTAAATAATTAAAAAGACCTTCTTACTTTACCAAAATATCGAAAGCATAATGAAATTACAAAAGGAAACGTGAAAAGTCAATAAAAATGTCTTTTTTGGGTCAGGCGATGACTTTCGCATACTTTTGCTTACACCATTCGAAAGAGCGCAAAAAAATACGTTGATTTAAAAAAAGTATCCCGGTAGCTTCTTTCTAATTGCCACAATCCATTTGTTAAGAATTTTGAGAAGCCGAGCGCAGCATACACACTATGACGTCACAGCGCTCCCCTCTCCTGGCTACCGCTCAGTCGTGTGGGCCTCCGCGCGGATCACTCTGTCTTTAACGCATGCTTACTTGGTTATTTCTTGGTCGAACCCATAAAAAAAATTCAGAGTATAAAGGAAGTCTATTACTTTACAACGAGCCCAAGTTTATTACAAAATATTAATAGAACAGCCAGAATACCGTTTTTAGGAAAAAAATTATGTCGACTCCTATTGGTCGGATAGACGTTTTCTTTTAAATTCATGTTTTTAAAGCACTACTTGATGTAGTTGGTTTGAAATTTGTATATTAAAAAATCGCCGAAATAAGGACCCTAGTTACCGTTTTAAAAATCTGAAATTTAACGCGAAACAATGTAATTACCTTTCGATCCTTTTTACCGAATTTCGATATCTTGACTTGTTGTTGAGTACCCCAACAGTTATCTTTTCCTGTAGTTTCATCAATTTTCAGTCAAATTTGTTCTTTTTATTTAATGCTGAAAATTTTGCACATTTTTCTTTCACCGCTAATTTTGCAATTTAAAAAAAAAATGCGAGCTTTCGCAAGAGCCTATCCTTGTAGCAAATTTCCTCAAGAACAAAATCGAAAAGTATACCTCATGTCCATTAGATACTTATTTTCGAAGATAAACTGAAAAAAGAGCAATAATTTTTTTTCTTTTGTTATAAACAATATGACGCTCGACCTATACAAATACACAAATTTAGGCTTTTATTCCGTGTATTTTTCATGTAATATTAAGCCCATAAAATTCGAGTTAGGTTTGTTCTAATGCGCCCGAATTATTACACCAACTGTCACAAAAATATCGTTAGGTTAGATTTGTTTTAGACATTTGACGATTTATCAGTTACCACATGCAAAATGCCAAATTGCTGGGTCATGACTTGTACAAAAATAATGAGAATGGTTCAAAGATATTTGAGTATACATATAGCCTAAATGGCCGTCTGATATGTTTATAAAGCCAGCAACAAATAAATCGTTATGTAAAAACAAATGTAATAAGTTACAGCTCTCCCTTAAAGACTTTTCCAAGGAAGTGAATAGAGTAGAATGCTATGAAAAAATAAACAAAACCTCATTTTAAAAACACGGAGTGTAAAAATGATCTTTTTGAGAAAAAGAAAATTTATGTGTAAAATAAAAGTTCGAAAGGATCGATGGTTATCGCACAACCATATTTGAAATTTTAAAAAATTATTCCCCAAACCAAGAGAGAGATAAATGTAATCCTACCCACCTCCTGTATCAACAGGTCGTGCTTGAGCACCTTCCGCGACTTCATTATCCTCACTATGGCAGCCTGCAAGTATATCTTCCTGTCCTCCTTCACCGAGTTCATCATCTGCTCCGTCTCGAGGGGCACGGTCGCCGTGATCCTGAACCTGATGCGCTTGTTCGAGTAGTCCGTGTTAAGCCTCAGCGTCGTCTCCGGCGTCAATTCCTGGAGAAAACCAGAATTCACCTGTTTCCCACCTCAGAACAGTAATAAGCCGCCCCTTCCTCCGAACAAGTCGCGTAATTTTGATGGTGTTTCGATTTCATTAACAATCCGACAGGTTTTTGTACTTGTAACGTGGTTTACTGTGGAGTTGAAGATATCATAACATATACAAGGCGATTCAGTCATAATGTCATTAATTTTAACCACGTACTCGGAAGGCCTAATAGACGGAAAGTCGAAAAATATTTTTTTTCTCGATTTTTACCCCCTTAACTCCCGCTAATACGGCGCCCACACATTTTCTGACCAAGACGTTCGAACATTGAAGAGAAACAGCGTTACCACATAAATGAGAATAAAATATTCAGATCTACCACCGTTAAACGCATCTTCCTTATAGATTTCATGCAAATTTGGAGATCACGTCATACATATGGAGGGGAGATGAGTAGAAAGTATGCAGAATGCAGTACAACCCGCAGTTTATTTCGGATTGTTTCAAGTGTAGGTCGTAATGGTTAATTTTTTCGTAATGGCTTTTTTTAGCGGAATAATATTGAGAAAAATTAAATATATTGTCGAAACATCGGTAAATTTCGCGAAGGAAAAGAGTTTTTCTTTTAATTAACCTAAACCGACAATTTTAAAGAAAACTATTAAACTAGGTACGTATCTTGATTTAATACAAGGCGTTAAATAAAATAAAACCATTAACCGGACATTTCCTAATTTCTCGCAATTGTGAATACTAAAACTGCGTGATCTGTCATATATTATCTGAAAACGTCGATTTGCTGTATCGGAATTTATACAGGGTGTCTCAAATTTGATAGTATGGGCCTACTGTGAGGATGCAATTTAAATAAAATTTGGGACACATGGTGTTAAAGGGGATGAGATAAGCTCCATTTTCAATCGAAAGTGTTATCTTTGGGATTTGACAGAAACGACTAATTACGTCATCAATTATATTTTTTCCAGAAACATACCCAAATTTTTTTCCTGTTAAAAAGCTCTCTCTTTTCTAATAATCTTTTATTAGATACATTTTTCTGTATTACTTCTCGTTTAAAAGTTATAAGCAATATCTGCCTAAAGAGTCTCAAAAGACATACCACCTAGAAATCTCATTAGCGGTGGAAGGATCAAGTAGTCGTTGGAAAATAATTGAATGTTCGTTGTTTATAGTGCATAAATAACACAAAATACTTGCCATTAATCAATACGAACATCAAACATATAACTTTTGTGCTTACAAAATGTTTTCTCATTCAGAAAAAGTTGATATGTTGCTAATTTACGGCGAGTCACAAAAACATTCAAGAAGAGCTGTAGAGTTATATCGAAAAAGGTATCCAGAGCGCCTCATTCCTGATCATAGAACCTTTACAAGATTAGAGGCGACCTAATACAGCTAGACTGTTACAGTATTTCGAACAAAATCCACGAAATTGTATACGCCAGGCTAGCCGGGAATTGAATTTGGATAAATTAGCCGTTCAACGAATTTTAAAGATCAATGGGTATCAGACTATAAAATTTACAATTTGGAGTATTTGCGTCACATTGAAAACATATTTAATTTTATAGCTCAAATTGTAGTAAATGTTTTCTGTTGATCAGAACCTTTTTCGGCACGTTCCTTGGACTGACGAAAGTTGCTTTGCCAAACAGGCGCAACGAACACTACTGGTCCATAGAAAATCCCCACATTAATGGGCTTAATGCACCTATTCAGTGGCCCAGAACGTCACCAGATCTAACACCCCTCGACTTATGGGGGGTTTTAAAGAATAAGGTTTACAAAACACCTTCGCGAGATATTAATCATTTGAAAGAAAAAATCATAAACGCTTGTAATGAGTTAAACGGCGAAATGTTAATAAACGCAGTCCACAAAGAAGTCAGGCGAAGATTGAATATGTGTCTTGAAATGAGAGGAGGTCATATAGAGAATAGATTGTAATATGTATGCAGTATGAAAACATTTGTCTCATTTTTTAAGTTTAGTTGTTGTTATCATCACCTTTTGTTTTAACTGTATTAAAGAATTATCGAGTTTAATTCTTCTATTTATTCTTAATGACATTTATGCATTTTAAATAATGAACGTTCAATTATTTTCCGACTTCTTTACCCTTCTAATGTGATTTTTAGGTGGCATTTCTTTTGAGATTCCTTAGTTCGATATTGCTTATAACTTTTAAGCGGGAGTAATACAGAAAAAATTATTTAATAAATGTTTAGGTATTAGAAAAAAGAGAGCTATAATTGGTCGTTTCTGTCAAATCCTAAAGATAATGAATTGACGTTTGACAATTAACCTGACATTTCGAAGGGAGCTTTTATTAATAAACTCACAACTTTCAAGAAACCATTAAATTCGAAAGTGAAATACGTATTTTGAATTTACGCAGTTACGCTTTAACGAAAACAAAACTCTTGGCACACAATAATCTTCAAAACAACGACTTCTTGTTTACCGCAACGCTAGTCTCGAAAATCAAGTGAACTTTGACTTTATAAACTAAATGCATCAGCCTAAATAATTTTTTGTGCATAATAATCACTTGTATTGAATAATGAACAATTTTATTTCTGCTATTTTCTGTGATATGTATGTTTGGTCTCTTGGTACCTTTAAGTGTTTTTAACGATATCTTTGGTAAACTAGTGTATTCAATACAAATACGGCAGTTTAAATGAACGGTGAAGTGTGTAAGTATGTTAAAAAATATATTATCTGCGCAATGAAAGTGCACACGCGGCAAAAATTTTATACGGGGATAAAGGGATAAAATAAATATTCCAGCTGGATGTTGTACACCTCCTAAATTCCTAAAATAAATAAATAAAAAAACAATAAACAACCTCACTGTCGGCCAGGAGCAGCTTGGAGTCGATGAGATTGATGGCGTGTTCCTGGAACTGCTGCGAGTTGAGCTGGAGCGTCTCCCTGATCTCCTTGCTGGTCAGCGAGTCGCTGTTCTCGAACAGCAGCAGGATGGCCATCTGAAAGGCCTGCACCGTCACGACGTACGGTTTCTCCAGGTAACAAAACTTCAGCTCCGCCTGACTGAAGTGGTGGAGCCACATCAGCTTGCGCCCATTGAACCGGTTGTGGTAGAACTTCTCGAACTACGAAAAAACTGTATCAGCACATGTCCTGCCTCGCATAAAAAATATACCCACCATCTGGACGCTCTTCACCAGCTGCTGGGGTAGGGCGAACGGCGTGACCATCACCTGATCCAGCGGCCAAGCACTGGCCTGCAGGACGTATACGCTGAAGTTGATGCCGAGATCGACGTTGTCCTGCTTGAGGAAGACGCCGAACTTGTCGTTCAGGTCCGAGCTGACCGATACGTCCGTGAACATCTTGTGTAGTTTGCTCGCAAACACACAGCCGCCCGCCTGCCAAGGAAACCGGCCGAAAAATAGAAAGTGTTGAGAAAATTTCCAGGGAACAATACAAGTATTACATTTTCTAAAGGAACGACCTAGCCGCATAATAATAATCAACATTACCTTCCGCCGCACTGCTACTTGAATCTTATCAAGTAAAATATATCGGACACTTTGGGACTGACGGATCGTAGCTCACCTGTTTCAGTCTGTTGATCATCGCCTCTTCGGCATCCATGCTCTGCGTCTGCTGGTGGATAAGGCGTTTCGCCAGCATGCGCGAGTAGAACTTCTGGAAAACGTCCTTGTCGTCGATGTACTCGAAGATCGTGATGCTGTCCGCCAGCTTTTCGTCCACCTGAAAACGGCAGGCACGACTGCAAAGGGCTCGTTCATTGTAAAACAAGGGGGAGAAATTTCATAAAGAACGAGACAGAGTTGAAGTTGAGGTGTTGAAACCGAAACACGCTCAATATGCACAAAATTAATACGAAGTCTCTTCACTGGAATACCTCAAATGGTCAAACCTCAATGGCTGGAGGTCGATAGGCGGATGCTAAAGGTCAAATATTGTAAGCCAAAAGTTAATGATCGATGACCAAAGGTCAATGGCTAGGGTCAACGGCATTTGGTACTACGGTCACTGACCAACGGAGTCTAAGAACAATAACCCCATGATGGCAAAGGTCAATGACTAAGAGATCGTAGGTCAATGACCAAGGAGTTAAAGAACAAGTCAATAAACAAGGTTCAGTCAATGATCCGGGAGACAAAGATCAATTACCAGGGAGACAAAGATTGATGACCAGAGGAGCAAAGTTAATGACCGCGGAAAAAGATAATGGCTGGGTGCCAAAGGTCAATGAGCGGAGAGTCTACGGACAATGACCCCATGATGTCGAATGTCAACGGCTAAGAGATCGTAGGTCAATGACCAATGAGTTAAAGAACAATGAGGGGACAGTTGATAGCAAAGGGGACAAAGTCAATAACCAAGGTTCAGTCAATGACCAGGGAGACAAAGATCAATGACGAGGGGATAAGACTGATGACCAGAGAGACAAAGATTGATGAGCAGAGGAGCAAAGTTAATGACCGCGGAAAAAGCTAATGGCTGAATGTCAAAGGTCAACGAGCGGAGCGTCAAAGGACAATGACCAGAAGCCAAAGGTCAATAACTGGCTGAAAGTAATTGCTCGAGCATCCATCTCAAAGCGCAATGCCTTTTCATTTGATATTTCCCCATTGATCTATATTCTTTGACAAGACCTTTGGCTTATGGTCTTCGAAGGAATTTGTATGTACTCTGAAACTACTTTGAATGTTTTATTGTAATTCAGATTTTAATCCTTTCTGAAATTGTTTTAATGTTCTTTAAATTACCTGCTTTACAGGTGATGTGATGTTAATTTTCATTTCTAACGCCGACTCAAAAAATATTGATGTATGCTGAAACCGTTTAATGTACGGTAGAACAACATCAAATTATTATTAAATTAAGGCTGTTTAGTTTTGTTTTGTTGTGAAATAGTTTCTGGGCACTGTGAAGCTGTATTTTAAGCTGTTTCAAACTATTTCACAAATTTACTGTCAGTTTTCGAGATATTTCAACTAGTTTAGAGATTTTATGATTATTCCGAAGTTAAAAGTTATTGGTTATTCCGAACACCCTGTATATGGTAAAATGGTTACGGGGTAGAGTGGGTTAGTATGAGCGTTTTATGGAGGAATATGGGTGGATTCGAGGTAATATGGGTTGGTATTAGTTCAGTCTTTAGTATTCAACAAGATTCATTGAAATACAGGGAGGTCCAAAATCGCCCCCCACTAATCCTACCAGAAAACGTATTTTTTCTCAAATCAACCTTGGAATGACCTTAAACCTGATTTGATACAAATAAACGGACCTTGGATTTAAGCTCAGAAAGGGGAAAGGGGAGATTTTTTCTTGGTTTGACCTTTAAATGACCTTATGAAGATAAACTGACCTCGGATTCGAATTCAGCTATCCCAAAAACCTATATAACCTAACCTAACCTCGGATTCTAACCCAACGACCCCAAAATCCTGTATAACAGGTTGTTGGACTTGATTGTTCGGTTTTTTCTCCATTTGACCTTGATATGATCTTGAAACAACCTTAAAATGGCCTGATACAGACAAACCAACTTCGGATTCGGATTCAGCGACCCAAAAAACCTAAACTCCGAGATTAAATGCACTTTTTCTCAATCTGACCCCTAATTGACCTTGATCCTGACTACCTCCGATTCGCTGATCCCCTTGCTGGACGTCCTCAGCAGCGTATCGCAGTATTTGGCGAGCAGCTCGGGCATCCGACACGGCGACTTGCCCTGGTTGGGCCTGTGGTTGACGACAAAGCTGCACGCCTTATCCAACGCCTCCATGAATTTCTGGTCGGACTTGAACACCTCCTGGATGAGGCGCTTGTACTTCTTGAAGACCGTCAGCAGGTTGTGGATGTTCTCGCCCTGAAGGTCGCCGATGGCCTGAAATACAAAAAGACGTCACGTCGCCGATTTCTTGCCGATATTTAGAGAAGCCGCTGCTGTTCAAACTTTTAAATCGATTCGATGGTGTTTTCTAAGGGAAACAGCACGTCAACAACCTGTGTCCAAAAATCTATTCCATTGCTGTAAAAACAACAACAGCGCCATCTGTCAAAATTGTACTGCAACTGTCAAATTTAACTACAATAGCGCCATCACAATAAACATTGTATAGAAACTGTTAATTTCAACTACAACTGTTCATTTATGTCCAAACATTGTAACACAACTGGCAATTTCACCTGCAACAGCGACATCTGTGCTAAAAAATTTGTACCGTAACTGTCAAATTTAACTGCAACAGCGCCATCTGTAGGCAAAAAATTGTATCCAAGTCATTTGTAATTTTCTATATTATATTTAAAAACAATTAATTTAAAAAATGGCATAATCTATATTTCCACTTATAAAGTCATTAAGTAGGACAGTTAAGTTGTCGAAAATACCTCGTTTTTTGCCAAAATTTAGTTCAGTAAATGAAGACAAGTAAAAATTAGGAAAAATTCCGTAGAAACTAAACATTTTAGAAAAAAATGTTTTAGACAAAGACGTAGAACTTTTTATAACAAAAATTTTGAGACCAGCCTGATGTCAAAAATTGATAAACAAATGTATTAGTTATTGCAAAAAACGGCTAAAATCACATTTTTTTACAAAATTTTTAGAATATGTAGTTCTTGGCAAGTAGAATAAGTACATGTTTGTAAAATTAAAAAATATTTGACAGTTTTTGCAAAAATAGTTTTGTTAAAACAAAAAACTTTTTTCAAGTTTCAATAATCCATTTTTCTCGGCTCCTGTTGGTCGTAGAACAAATTTTTTTTTAAATTCGTGAAAAAATGTCAGATATCAAATACCAATAATGCAATTCCGACTAAATTTCGAAGAAAAAGATCTACATTTTTCGACCCAAAGAAAAAGTCAGTTTCGGTAGATTTTTCGCATATTTCTAATTATTTTGCAGTACGCGCACAATTTGCACACGCACGAAAGTATAATTTTTAGAAAAAATTTTAAGGCCAAGATGGGTCACGTAATGCACTACTATAGATTTCTAATACTTGTAACATGAGAAAAATGGTTCTTTTTTCGAAAAACTCAATTTTTGCAAAAACTATAAAATATTTTACAATTTTACAAACACGCACTTATTCTACTTGCCAAGGACTAAATATTCTGAAAGTTTAGTAAAAAAATCTTCTTTCGTTTTAAAGATATAGTCGAAAGCATTTGACTCAATAGATTTTAGCTGCCTATTGGCCAAACTATTTTTCTATGCAATTCATAATTGGTTTGATTCCTATATTAAAGACAGAGTGCAACTTATTAGAATTAAAATTGAAAATGGTCCTTTATTTTCTGAACCTAGAATAATAAAATCTGGAGTGCCACAAGGCTCTGTACTTGGGCCTTTACTTTTTAGTATATGTACTGCGGACTTTGTGCCGTCAGTAGTGCACACTACTTTGCACATGTATACAAATTTTGTACAGCAGAAATTGAAAACAAACTGCTGATCTTATTAATTCTGACTTGTATCGGATAAAGGAGTTATGCGATAAAAATGCTCTAATACTTAACCCAAATAAATGTAAAAATCTGGTTATCGGTACGTATCAAAAAACTAGACAGTTGGGGGATTTTGCTGTTTATATTGACAATTCGACGCTTTAGTACGAAACCATGATATCTCAAATTTCAGTTGGAAAACATGCTATCTCAAATTAAGCTCGGAAAACATGCTAACTCAGATCTTTAGGTAAAAACACGCTATTTCAGTGTGACTAGAAATTTAAGTTGGCACAATGAATGATTGAAGCCGTGCATTTATAATAAACTTATATAATATATTTTTATAAAAGTAAGGAATGTTTATGTTCGGGTACACTGTTTATTATATTTTTTTTATTCAACATTTTTCAATTTATTTTGTTAAGTTACTGTTATAAACGACAAAATTGTTAATTAAAAAAATAGAATAATATGCAGTATGCTGCAACACGTACATTACTCGACGTTTTTTGAAATAACAAATTATAAAAAAATAGTGTATACCCTAATATACAGGATGTTGCATCACGAGAGGGACATGACTTAATGTGAGATAGAGGATATCTAGGGTAACTAGGTAATTAAGTAATTATCAAGAAAAAACGACATGGCGCTGAGATTACTTTTTATGTTCTTTTCGATAATCGTATGGGAATACCAAAAAAATACATACGGGTCGATGTTTTCTAGTTACAAAAAAAATTAAAAATTTTGCAGTCCGGACCTGGAATACGTATTATTACAAAACCATTTTTATCATGTGTCCTTTACGTAATTTAGTTTTAGAAGCCGTAATTTCGTATATTCAATAGCTTATTTAAATAACCACCAGTGTAACAAAAAAAAGAAACGCGTCTTTAAGATCACTTTTTTATGCTCTTTCCGAATATCGTATCGGAATTTCAAAAAAATACATACAGAGTGTTGTTTTCTAGGCTTGCACAAAAAATTTACAATTTTTGCAGAATACGCTATTACGCTATTAAATTATTATTACGCTATTAAATTATTATTAGCTATTACGCTATTAAATTATTATTATATTTTTGCAGAGTACGCTATTACGCTATTAAATTTGATATCAAAAAATCGAATAATTTTTAGTAATAACAAACATTTTTATATATTAAGGTATACACTATTTTTTTTATAATTTATTATTTCAAAAAAGGTCGAGCAATGTACATGTTGCAGCATACTGCATATTATTCTATTTTTTAATTATCAATTTTGTCGTTTATAACAGTAACTTAACAAAATTAATTGAAAAATGTTGAATAAAAAAAAATAAAATAAACAGTGTTCCTGAACATAAACAAAATACAGAAGTGGATCTTATTTGTGGAAGGGCGAAATGGGCGGTGACTATTAGACGCCTTCATTATAGCCATCTTTCTCTATCGCACGGATTTATATGACTTTCTTTATCGCTCTCACGTAACGGCCGATGAACCATGGGGACTTTCCGACCCTGTATTATATACAAGTTTATTATAAATGCACGGTTTCAATCATTCAATGTGCCAACTTAAATTTCTAGTCACACTGAGATAGCATGTTTTCCAAGCTTAATTTGAGAGAGCATGTTTTCCAGCTGAAATTTGAGATAGCATGTTTTCCAACCGAAATCTGATAGCACGTTTTCGTACTAAAGCGTCGAATTGTCCTTTGGAAAACTGTAGTTCAGTAAAGAATCTGGGTCTTGTATTTGAAAATGACCTGAAAGTCTCATAACATGTTAGTGAATTATGTAAGAAGGCGTTCATTTCCTTTAAACAAATAGCGCCTTTAAAACGCTATTTGAGCTCTGACATTAAATTAATATTGGTTGAATCCTTAGTTTTGTCTCGTCTAAATTATTGTGATTATGTTTATAGTCCTTTACTTACAAATGCTGATAAATTTAAACTGCAAAAAATTCAAAATTGGTGCATGCGTTTTGTCACATATATACCCCTTCTTCACCATGTTACTCCCTTTATTAGACAGTTTGGTAAATTAAGACTCAGTGAAAGACGCTATGTTCATTTTTCTGTTTTTGTAAATAATATACTGTGTAATACAACTCCTGACTATCTTTATGAGAAGTTGGTTTTGGATGTACATGATCGTCAGCTTCGTAATATACATTTGCAATTAATGCGTCATCGAACTGAGTATTTCAGATGTTTATTTACCTATTTAGCAGCCATGGTATTGAATAATGTACTGGTGCCTCGGGACTTAACACTCCGTAATGTACCTCTGATTAAGAAACGCATTCGTGAGTTGGTCATGGAAAACGAAAACTCCACAAATGCTGCTGTTTTCTAGTTTTAGTTTTTTTAGTTTTTGACTTGTATTAATATAATATGCGTGTGTGTATGAGTGTGTGTTTGACTATACTACGTATTTATATGTGTAGTGCACAAGCATGTATGAGTATGTATGTATATTTATAAGTTATATTGTTTTTTTACACTGTTTTAATAACTCTTTATAATTATAATCATCAGTTTTCTGTGTTTTTTAGCCGTTTTTTGCAATAACTAATATAGACTAGGCGGTATCTGTTTTGCTTTGGGTGAATCGTATATCCACGGAGATTTTTGGCTTTTTGGCTTTCAAATAACAGTAGAAATGAAAATTTTTCTATGCGCATAAAAAAAACGTGAGCTTAACTTTTGGCAGCACAATATGTTAAAAAAATTCGAAAAATATCGTATTTTTCTTCCTATTTAATTAAATTATGTATCTTTTCAAGAGTTGATTTTAGGCGAAAATGGGAGAGGAAAAAAATGTTTGCAATTAAATTTTACAAAATGTGACTATTTACAAATCGAATGAATCAGGATTATTATTGTAAAAATGGAAAAAATCACCAAAAATGGGGTTAAAAAACATTACTTTTTAGGGAATTTTTTTTTGGGGCCTTTGATTGGGTACAGGACCCTCATACGTGGTTCAAGGGAAGTTCATGTTATGTAGAATCATCACACCAAATTTCATCAAAATCGGTTCGATAGATTCCAGATTTTGAAAAAAAAATTTCAAATTTTCAAAATTTTGCACAGCAAAAACCAAGGCCTTTAGATACTTAAATTTAATCAGATATAGAAGGGCTCTCAAACTTTCAAACGTTTTTTGAAAGATTCGAATTGGTCAATTAGGAGAGCTCTGGCTCTTGTTGAAACATTGCTCGAATTTTTGTACTTACAAACAATTAGAATAACTTTGTGAATATTCAATCAAATCAAATTTTTTAAAGCAGGTTTTAAAAGTTATTGGAAAGATGCTTCTTTAAAAGAAAAACAGATCGATTGGTCAATTAGTTACGTAGTCATAGCCGATCAAAGTTAACTGTCATTTACACTAAATGTACAGGGACATCCATTCGAAAAATACTTTTGGTATTCCGAGTACTTGCCAGGTCTAAGTTTGCAATACTTTTCTTCATTGGCAACCTACTTTAAAACGCGTGTAAAGTTATTTATGCAAGCGAGAAATTCAAGAAAATCGTAGGGGCGGTGGTGGTGGGGGAAGCAGAGAGCGCGGCCGCTTCGGCCTGCTCGAAATTGAATCGGCGAGTTCAAAACCGCGACGCGCCTAACAATTTTTAATATCTCAGCTTCTAGAGGTCCGATTTTGATGATTTTTTTTTAAATCGACGTCTCGCGATTTAAAAAACAATTAGCGTATTTCAAATGCCTATCGTTAATAATTATTATTGGTCTTTTAACGGTCCGATAATTATTTATCTTTAAACTTACTTTAATTATCAACATTATTTTTTTTATTGTATCAAAGATAAGTGCATAAACTTATGTACTGTTTATCAAAAACAAATTGATTTAAATATTCTAAAATTCTTTAAACAACAATTATTTTCAAAATATGTCGAAAATTAGTAATTAATTAATTAATCAATTAATTGATTATTAATTTAATCATCATTCCTTTTGTAATTAAACTATAATTTTAATATTATTTACTGTTTAGAATACAGGGTGTCTCATAATTAGCTGCCAACCCTGAACAGGCCGATTCTATGATCAAAACTAAGTAAAAAAGTTCATATGAACATGGGTCCGGAAATGCTGCCTAAGGGCACAGGGACCCATTGAAGACAAAGGAATGGAAATAAATTTTTTTGCAATATCTCTCAATCGCGTTGTGATAAATGAATGAAATTTGGTATACACAGCTAAATTTTGATGAGCAATTTGATGGACTAATCCATTTATTTCCACAAGGTCCATTGGGGTGGGTACGGGGGGGCCCTTGGTACTTTGCGTGTGTAACTTTTTCATCTTTGACTTTTTAACAAATTGGACAGCAAATTCCGTTTTCCCGAACTGTTTTACGTTAAAAAGGTACTCTTGTTTCAAATCGTTATCTTTAACGGTTTCTGAGAAAATCGCTCTTGAATTAATCCCACTTTGGTCAATTTCATAGTAATTTAAACAAAAAATAATAATAATAATTTTCCTTTCCTCTCTTTTCCATTTAAAGGATTAATTTTTATTTAATTTAATTTTTTATTATTATTTTTTTATTAAAACTAGATTAAATTGAAACAAAATATTTTTTTTTGTTTAAATTACTATGAAATTGACCAAAGTGGGATTAATTCAAGAGCGATTTTCTCAGAAACCGTTAAAGATAACGATTTGAAACAAGAGTACCTTTTTAACGTAAAACAGTTCGGGAAAACGGAATTTGCTGTCCAATTTGTTAAAAAGTCAAAGATGAAAAAGTTACACACGCAAAGTACCAAGGGCCCCCCCGTACCCACCCCAATGGACCTTGTGGAAATAAATGGATTAGTCCATCAAATTGCTCATCAAGATTTAGCTGTGTATAACAAATTTCATTCATTTATCACAACGCGATTGAGAGATATTGCAAAAAAAATGATTTCCATTCCTCCCTCTTCAATGGGTCCCTGTGCCTTTAGGAAGCATTTCCGGACCCATGTTCATATGACCTTTTTTATTCAGTTTTGATCATAGAATCGGCCTGTTTAGGGTTGGCAGCTAATTATGAGACACCCATAAGCAAATGAGAAATTCGCTCATTATATTACAAAAGTACAAAATTAGCTCTCCTAATGGACGGATCTGAATTTTTCAAAAAGAGTTTGAAAGCTTGAGAGCCCTTCTACATGTGATTAAATTTTTAAGTATCCAAGGGCCTTGGTTTTTGCTGTGCAAAATTTTGAAAATTTGCAATTTTTCAAAATCTGGATTGCAAAATTATTATGCAAAATCTATCGAACCGATATTGATGAAATTTGGTGTGATGATCCTACATAATATGAAGTTTTCTTGAACCAGATATGAACCCAATTTAAAGATCCAAAAAAATTCCCTAAAATGTATTGTTTTTTAACTCCATTTTTGGCAATTTTTTCGATCTTTACAATAATAATCATGATTCATTCGATATGTAACTAGTCATATTTTGTAAAATTTAATTACAAACATTATTTTCCTCTTACATTTTCGCCTAAAATCAACTCTTGAAAAGATACATAATTAAATTGGAAGAAAAATATGACATTTTTCGAATTATTTTAACATATTGTGCCGCTAAAAGTTAAGCCCACGTTTTTTCTATGCGCATAAAAAAATTTTCATTTCTAGTGATACTTGAAAGCCAAAAATCTCCGTGGATATACGATTCACCCAAGTATGGACTCTTTGAGAAACAGATACCGTCTGGACTAATATATTTGTTTATCAATTGACATCGGGTTGGGCTCAATATTTTTGTTTAAAAAGTTAAAAAGGATAAAACTGTTTTTTTCGACCTTGGACGCCATTTTGAAAATGAAGCCCTAACATTCAGCCGTGGTAAATTAGTTCACTCAATTCTACGGAATTTTTACGTGTTTTTGTTTACCGAACAGAAGAAATCAATGCGGACTTACCATAAAGCCCTGTGTCTTGATGTGCTCGAACATGTTGTCGACGAGCACGACCATGGCGTCCTGAACGTTCTGAATCAGAACGTACATGTTAGAGAGGTCCTCTTTCCTCTCGCCCTTCACCATGTTCGTGCATTCACTGTAAATGAACTGCAGGTGTTCCGCCACCATGTGCGTCTCGCACCTGTCAGATACCTGAGGGGGTTTAAACGGGATAAATCCATTTCATTGCGGGGTTAATTTCATACTTACCTTATGCAACGAGCTGGAGTGTAGAAATTTGCGTGCCCTAAACAGTTCCTCCTCGATTTTCGCCTTCACTCCCTTCATGTACAAACTGACGTCTTTCTCCTGCAAAAGCCGCGTCGCGTCCCGCTTGTAATTTTCCCCGCTGGCGTTGAGGAAGGGTTCCTCGAACAACTCTTGGTAGAGCTGCAGTTGGTCTGTTTCCCTGTAACCCTGGACCTACGACGAAATAACAAACACACACTTAAAAATCAAATTTATTTCGACAGAAGCCGGCACGTACCTCGACAAAACTGAGAATGGTACCCCGTACGGCATCGATGGGGATGCTGAGGGGTTGCTGCGCCCTGTCTTGTTCGATAGTCCCCAGGAGCAGTTTAACCAGCCTCTGGCCGAGCGGAGCTATCATCTCCGACTGCCACACCTCCAACGCCAGCTTGCCGATCACCATCTGCTCCTCTGCGTCACAACAAATCGTCAGACGTTTCTAAATTAAATTTATCCCGTAACCGTGATAGCACCTGCTTCAATTATACGCAAGAAATAGTTCGCTGACGTTTAATTTAAACCAAGAATTTGTGTATTTTAAACGGGAAAAATTAGACGACGACTCTAATTTTGTTAACAAAAAAACCTTCGATTGTTTTTGCGATTTCGCAAAAATATTGTAAGAAATTTAAATACTAAACAATTAAGGTAACAACTTATATAATATAAGAAGAGTAATTCACAATAAGAGTAATGCGTGTTAACATGTTAACAGTATATAAATGAATGAATGTCTCAGGAGTATTCTGTCCGCTTCCAAATCACAAATGTTTATATTGAAACAGCGCCTATTCATTACTTATAACCAGGGTTGGGCGGGTAGACAATGTCGACGTAGACAATGCAATTGTCTACGCGTAGACAATGATCTAGATGAAGACTTAATTTGGAAGAGTCGACAATGTAGACAATGTCGACAATGTCAACAATTAAGAAACTCTCAAAACTAGAAAAAGGTGTGGTAGGTATGTACCTCAAAAAAAGAATTTCGTAAGGCTGTAACTCGTGATTCTTGCAAAAAAAGAAAAATTGAAAATTTGGAATTTGGAAAAGTACCTACCTATCACAACCATCTATAAAAAAAA